GTCTTTGCTATTGCCTGTGGATATAAGCAGCTAAAGGCAAAAATAATACATATGAAGACTTTCAATATGACATTAAGCTGCCCTGAGACAGAAGAGAGGGTTGGACATGCTTGGTAAGGAGTGAACTATCTCAACCGTCTTGAGTCAAAGATCTTTGGTGATAAGACAGACATGGGATGGGACTAATTCCACCAATCCAGTTGCGGAGGGTCGGAGCTTGTTATAAAACCAGGCGTTTGTGACGCTCCCAACTTCACTCTTCACTTCCTCCACCTTCCACAACTTCAGCTGTTGTCAGTTGTAGCAGTTTCCTCTGAAACCATGGCCCAGGAAATGACTCTGCTGTGGGGCTCCGGCTCTCCTCCCTGCATGAGGGTGATGATCGCTCTGGAGGAGAAGAACCTGCAGGGCTACAACCAAAAGCTGCTCTCCTTTGAGAAAATGGAGCACAAGTCGCAGGAAGTCATGGACATGAATCCCAGGGGACAGGTAAGTTCACTTTTAACCCTCCATTATCTAGAAATGATACCCAATCCTTTTGTAGTCTCAGTCTGCTTTTTTCTGATGTGCAAAAATATGTTCATTTTATATTAAATAACAATGAAACCTAAAAGTTTTCATTCTTTCTGAAAGCTACCTGCCTTCAAACATGGAAACAAGGTCCTGAATGAGTCTTATGCCGCCTGCATGTACCTGGAGGTAAGAACTTTGCCAAGCTGCTGAACTTGACCCTATTTAAAATTTTATGCTGCTATATCTCGCCAAGGAGTTAATATTTAGGAGCTCAACAATGCCTCGTAGACAAAAGGACACCCTACACCGCAGAGGAAAAGAAACCGGAGCTCCATGCAGCTGTTCATCATAGTTGCTCTTTTCATGTCTCCAACAACAGAGCCAGTTCAAGTCCAAGGGAAACAAGCTGATCCCTGACTGCCCCAATGAGCAAGCCCTGATGTACCAGCGCATGTTTGAGGGTCTCACACTCAACCAGAAAATGGGTATGTTAACCCTGACACTGTAAATCCTGCATATTATTATAAATAATAATAATAATAATAATAATAATAATAATAATAATAATAATAATAAATAGTTGATACATTTGGAACCTTTGGGTTAAAAAAGCCTAACCAGGCTAATAAAGCAACAATCGCTTTATGACTTAGCTGATGTTGTTGCTATTTAGAAGTCTGCCTTCTGGGACTCTGAACTACATTGCTCTTGGTAACATCATACACAAAAACTGCCACCTTTACACCTCTGAGACTTCATGCCTCCAGTCAATCTCCTCAGAGGAAGCTGCACATCAACTGCCCCCTCCTCCCCAAGAGACCCGAGTTGTTCAAAACAAGGCATGCGCTAATGAGCTGTGCATTCACGCAATTAAGCCATGGCACCATGCATTCAGTCTGTTAAAACATGTAGTGATGTTGCGAGGTCATATGTTAATCCCACAAAGGATCACATGCTCAGACTAGCTTGCAAGCTTAAGTCACGAGACAGGATACATCAGTTTTTGGGGAGGGGTGCAAAAAGAGAAGAGTATTTTCTGTATTTTTCTTTTTACTTCAAACTTTATTTGAGCCACGGTTACTGTCTTCACTGATGTTACATAATTTCCTGCGGCCACCCTCAACTGCTAGGGAAATGAAAGCAATTAGTCAGCACAATGTGGGAGTGGATGTTTTACTATGTGTGGATAGGTTTTTACTGATATCTCTCATAGCTCTCATACCCCAGAGAGCAGCCGTCAAGACTGAATGTCTGTTTTGATTTTTTTTTACAGCGGATGTTATCTACTACAACTGGAAGGTCCCGGAGGGAGAGAGACACGACTCTGCTGTGAAGAGAAACAGGGAGGGTCTGAGTGCTGAGGTCAAGCTGTGGGAGGGATACCTGCAGAAGGTTAATATTAAGATTTTAAAATACTATACCCACAGAAGGCTTTTAACTCAAGTGCAACATGAATTGCAATTACATGTTGGATTAGGTAATGCTGTT